TAGAAATATATCAAAAATTTTCAATTTTTTAATTTTTTTTTTAAAAAATTGACCAACTTTAAGATTTTTTAAAATAATATGTAATTAAAAGTTAATTTTTTTTTATAAATATATTTTATAAATCTTCAAATATTAAATATATTTATTTAATTGCAAGTTGATATGTAAAATTTTGTGAAATTACATTTTAATTCAAATGTATCAAGTTGGTGTATCATGCTTAATGAGATGACCAATACTGTATTTTATAAATTATATATAAGCAAATAATTAATACAATTAATTTAAAATTTTTATTGTTAGTAAACAGAATTTATGCTTATTAGACTAGTCTAAAAAATTGAAAATTAAACTAACTGAATTTTTTAGAATATCTAATTTTTGAAATAATGATTTTAATTATAAATTTTATAGTGACAGACCAAATTGTATTGATTGCAAGTCAAAACAATTTAATACAAACCTGATTAAAAAAATGCTATCTGAATCTATTTTATAAAAAAAAAATCAAATAGTAATTCTTAATTAGGATTGGATTAGTCCGGTCGGTCAGTCAGTCTCAGTTCCTAATAAAACTGGTCCCAATATAACTATCGGCCTGGTCTAGTTGGTTTCTGATCTCAAAAATAAACTATTTTCATATCAAAATAACCTATTGTATGAAAGTAGTTTATCATTTCTAGCTAGCTTTATCGAATAAAATTCATGCAATAATGGTTTTTAACTATTTAAATGTCGACCTGAACTAATTAAAAGACTGAAAACTGAAAGACCTTTAACCAGTTAAAAAGACTAGTTTTTATTCAGTCTTCTCAAAACCGATGCAACCAGTGTTGGGCTCGCTTATAAGTTCAGTAAAATTGAACTAGAACTGGACTTATAGGTCCAGTGGTCCAGTTTATAAGTCCAGTAGAGCGGACTTTTGGTCCAGAGCCCAACACTGGATGCAACCCTATTATTGATATATTAACCTGTGCAAAGCAAATATATTATACTCAAATTGACGCATCTTTTATTTAGTTTTAAAATTGAATCACCTGTATATTAAATTTATAGCAATAATAAATAAAATAAAACCAAAATATTTTTATGTAATATTTAGAAATATGAACTATATTATAAATACTTGCTAGTTATAGTTTCAGATCACATCTCTATTAATATTATCTCTTAGAACCTTCAGACTTTGATCGATGAGGACCTATATACAAATATGTAAAAACGATAGAACAAAATTGCATAAAAAATAATAAATTAAGACTTACTGACAAAGCTATCACTTCACCAATTAAAATTTTAAGCTTATAATACTCTGTAATATTGGATGGTACTGCAATCGTGAAAATTTCTTGCATTATAACATATCGATCAATAGATATCATCATTTTAATTACAATATCAAACCCTTGTGTTAATGCTCCAAAGATTTGAAAATCTTTAGGTAATAAGCGCCCGTTTTTTTTCTCTTGAGCAACAATAAAATTTATATTATTTTGCATTTGTTCACTTAATTTGACAAAATCATTGTTGATCTTTTTCTGAATCTTATTTGTCGAGCTTCCAACAACCTTTAAAGATTTCATAATTCAATTAATTTTGCACAGTAAAAGTCTTGTCTAGTTCCATTTGCAAATTATAGAGATTATTGTGTTTTGATGGTATTGATGCTGGATTTCTATAGAGAAAATTCGATATAATTTCTAAAATAGATATAAACTTAAGTATTAAAAATATGCTATGAAATCGTACTAAAATCTAAGTAAATTTTATAAAGGTAAATATAGAAAAAGTAATATGATTGTTTGTAAAAAATATAGAACCTATCTGGTAGAACTATTTAAAATATAGATAGAAAGTAAAATTGAATATAAAAAGCTTTAAATAATAATATCAAAAATATATTATCATGTAACTAGGTCTTATATTTATTAGATAAAAATAGTAATAGTTCTAAAAATACAAATAAAAATCTATAACTTATAACTAATTTTTTTTTTAGTGTTAACTGCAAGTTTTCAAAAAATGACTTTTTTAACTTACTTTTGGCTTGTAATTTCTTACATACTTAATTAAAATGCAAAGCTGGTTAAAAAGTAGTTTTTCTAAAAATTTGATTTGTAATAAATTTTCATGCTAAATTTTTTATTAACCGGCAAATTTTTGGGTCAAACCAAATCTGCCAATATGTTATATTTGTTTATTTAAGTTGACAAAGTCATTTTTGACTTGTTTCAAAATTCATTTATTAAGCTTCTGGCAATCTTTAAACTAAAGATTTATAATTAGAA